ATCTTCTTAAAATACATCCAACTTATTTAGTTAGCTAACTTACTCCTTAAAACAGCAAGTTTACCTTAACAATAACTTTGATTTTCTTAAAATAATCCAATCTGTAGCTTGGTAACGTATTCTGTACATTAACAAATTGCATTATTATTTATAATGCAAACCAAACATATCCTAACTTATCCTTAACTCACATTTTGTCAACAACACTATCTTTCCCAAATAGCCTCCCCTAGCTTTTTTCTTCTGACCCTAAATCCCTTTTCCCTATATATTGTTGTCTACTTCCAGATTCTGAGCTACAATTAATGCTCAACCTATATCAAATATTGATATTCCTTCTGCCTTCCAGATCACTTCAATAGTGTCATCTAGCACAGTCTGTCATTTCTGTCCAGCATAGCAGCTTTGTTCCTCAATTCCCATTCTATTCCTCAAAAATCCTTATATTTAGCACACCACAAGATTGAAGCAAGTAACTATTGGAACAGACAAAGCATACTCAACATTTGATTCCAAGGTGAAATGGAGCTCAATGTATTGAGCTACAATATTCATTACTTTAATGGATACTACTTTGAATGTGTTCCTAGAAACAACCTATCCGCTTATGAGGGTGCTGTGGATATCTACCCATCACAATCTTACCAAGTGGGAGTTTTTGCACAGTGGGTTACCATTCTCTACTAGTTGAATCAATCGATAATTTAGTATTGTCTTCGTTGCATCTCAGGATAGATAATATCTTTTGTCAGGGAACATTTCCTATTTCATTCTGGTTTTTTTAGACCATTATGGGCGTTTGGAAAGTAAGAGCTTTGAAGTGCAGCCTTCATAAGTAATGAACACAGTTCACCCAGTGTCTAATTTAAAAAAAAAAATGTTGGTTCGGACACACACCAGAAACTGCTTGGAATTCAGGCAAAGCCCTGATATAACTTTATATTAAAATGGAAACTTGTGATTTCATACCCAAAAATAAAAATCTCCTTCTAATTCGTAATGACAGTGGATGGCAAGATTCATCATTAGCACGTACAAGAAATAAAAAAGGTTTTGCAAGAAGAGGGAGGGTGGGAAGGGCTCTTACCGTAAGCACCGAAGCTGGCACTGCCAAGACAGTCAAAGGAATGTAAGCAACAGCCCTGAAAATCATCAAACAAATTCAGAAATTATAATCCATAACACGGAGGGTGAGAAAACAATAATCAGGGATAAAGAAAAGGAAGAAGAAGAAGAAGGGATTACAGAACGATTGGGCCCCAGGGCCCAAGATCGTGATCGACCCATAATAAGAAGTCCTTCATCATCTGCAGCGGCAAAATTGAAAAAGGATTAGTGAAGCCGCGTTGGCAAATATAGAATGGAAGAAAGAAGAGAGTAGGGAAGGGGAAACCTTCTCGACTGGTAGAGTGAAGCACGCGGTGATGACGGCAGCAAGGAGGAGGAGGAGGATGGTGATCCTCAGGGCGGAGGCCCAAGAGAAAGACATGGTTAAGCGGCGACGCCAAGGTCTGCACTCCTCCTCCTCGTCTTGCAAATCAGGGGAAGCTTGCTTGGAGGAAGACCGAGCCCTCAATCCCACAAGATTTGCCAGATTTATTCGATTGATTTTCTCTCTCTCTCTCTCTTTCTCTCTCTCTCTCTCTGCCACCACCACCCAACTTTAGACCACAAACGCTCCGACTCACATTCACCTTTCTTTCTTTCGCCAATTCTATTATTGTATCTTTTTTCGCTGGAATAGAAACGGTTGTTGGCAACAGAGAGAGAAAGAAATGGTGGTGGTGAGGCGAATATCGGATATTCCTGTTGGCTGGGTAGTTTCGTAAATTCTCACACACCATGCGTTGCTTCTACTTCTACCACCGCCATGGTCTGCGCTTTATAAGCACCATTGCCATAACCGACACCTTTACGCCTTTAAACACAGAATTAGCCCTTTTTATTTATTTTACTGCTATGGTGAATTTATGTATAATCTAAATTATCTTTGCAAAGGAAATAAATTAAAAATTATTTTGTGATATCCTTTGCATTAATATTAACACATGAATAAACTATAGAATATAGCGTGAATTATGATATTGTCAAATTTGCTGTAAGAATCATTTAATACAATGTCTTTTAAAATAATTTAGAGAGCACTTCAACAGTAACAAATATTAGTTTATATATAAAATAGAAATAGAAATAGAAAAGAGGAATAAAAGACAGTCTGGTTAATTTTTAAAAGATATTAGTGAATCTACTTTGAATAGTATGGGTGTATTTGGGTAATTTTTGTATAAATCTTATAGAAAATATATTTCTTTCCTAAAACAAAAATTAGTTTTCAAGTTAATTAAAAATATCTTTTAAATTAACTTGTATAAGAAGAGATTTACAAATTAGCTTATAAATAACTATTTTATTTTATTCAAAGTGTTTGTGAAAAATATTTTATTATAAACAGTGGTTCCCATAATGAAGAAATTCAGTTGAAGAATAAGAAAAATGCGAATAAATTGATATTTACCTAATTGCTACTTACCTTTCAGGATAAAATTAGTAAGTCAAAGGTTTGACTACTTCAAGGTGTTTTTTTCTTCCTTACTCCACCGCCCCAAGCTCCTCCTTGCTTTTTTTTCAATTGAAAATGAGGGTCTTGGATTGCACAATACCTAACTAATTATGTTTTAAGAATAACAAAGTATACTTACACGCATAGACATTGAATCCGTGATCAGCCAACTCACCTAATTTAATTTAATTATTTAATTTTTTATGTTTTAATATTATTAGTTAGCATTTATTTTTGTTATATTATAGATGAAGTAAAAAAAAATGTTTCAAAAAAAAAAATATTATAGATTTGTTTATTCAAAATTCTAATATTATACATGGACAACTAATACAAAAATTATCAATATTAAAAACTTATTTGTTCACCTTTTTACTTCTTTTTGGATCATGCTTAGATTATATGATATATTTTTTATTTATTTTTAATTGTCTTTGGAGTTAAAGTGAAATATATTTAAATTTGAATTAAAAACTTATAATTTTTTTATTTAGAAAAAAACTTATAATTAAGTAAGTTAGTGAGTCAACCCGTATAATTCACCAACCCGTGGTGGGTCGAGCTGGGTTCAAATTTTTTTAGTTTACTAATAAATGAGTCAGGTTGGGTTGGCTCATTAAGTGACTAACCCGTAGTAGACCGAGCCGGATCAAGCCAGATTATCCGTTTTGACAGCTTTAGGATATTGTTTGATAATAAACTTGGATAACATATTAAAAACTTAAATTAAAAAGGATTTTAAGGATGAATGTAGGTCAGAAAATCATGATTTTAAGATTTTTAAATTGATTTTCTAGAATAAAATACAGATAAAAATTAAATAACTAGTTTAGTTTAATTCGTAAGAGTAGGGTTGTTACATTGTTTCTAATTAATGCATATAAAATATTTGCACTTAATTATTGATCATGTCTTTATTTTTCAACCTTTTTATTAATTTCATCATAACGCATTTAACAACTTAGACACTCAATTGATGGAAGAATTTAATTTACATAATTTTAAAATTCAGATGGTAAATTGCGTAAAATTAAAAGCCTGTGGCATGAAATTCAGAATTCGGTGATAAAAATAGCAAAAATACAAATTCAGTGATAAAAATTGTATATAAGTTCACTTGGTTAAAATATTTGTTGGAAATTATATAATTTATTTATTACATAATTTATACATTTAAAAATATTCATTTATTACAAATTTATTTATTATTTAATAATAATAATTCATATTGCACAACTTGCAAGCTAAAATATCAGTTCTATTCAATCATAGAATTATTATTATTTTTTCTACAACCCGATTATACTTGTCATAACTTAGGTCCCATTTGTTACCCGTATTTAGAGAAGAAAAAAGAATTGTGTCATGTCACTTTTTTTTTAAATAATGACAATTGAAAAAAAAATCAGAAGTTTTTTTGAAGAAAAAAAAATCAAAAGTTATTTACAACAATTTCCAAAAAACTGTTTTTAAGAAAATAGTTTGCATGATTGTAAAGAATGAAGTTAACTTTTTCATTCTTTTAAATTTACGAAGCATAATTACTAAATTATTTTACATCAGAATACTTTTAATTGATAACAAATAAGCCTTGATTTAAAAAGGTGAAGTTATTACCAAATGTGTGCAATTAATCTTTTGGGAATTATTTCCTGCACCCCATCGGTTTTCCTTTTGCACCCTAAGCTATATTTTAAATCAGACCTAAGTTTGCAACCCGGGAATTCAATTCAACTAAGACCTCATGTCTAACCAGAATTAAACCACATTTTTAAAACGTAAATAATTAGTATTACAAACGGTTACTTTTATTTTATTAAAAACATATGAAATGATAATTTTAAGATTTAATGAATAAACCTTATCAACTGATACCATGTGGAAAAGGAAAACATAAAACTCGGTAGCTCAAGCAATAAGGTCATGTTTAACCGTACTTTAGATAAGTGTGATATATATATATCTGTCAAACACAGTAATGGTTTAAGTTTGAACATAATCTTGGATCTAAACTATGGTATGACTATAAGCAAAAACAAAAATAAAGTTTTTTTTTTCAGTTGAAACAGGTCGAGATTTAAAACTATAATTCAAATACACCCTTTGATTTTTGACTTTTTTTTTTCAAGTTTTACTTGTTTGGTGGCAAATGCCAATTGTCATAATTTATTGAGAAGTGGTGTCCACTCCAATTGTAGGACATGTACACCAAGAATCTAATTAAGTTTAGATTATTACCAGAAGGTAGAATAAACCGAGGAGGTTTGGATTTGAAGTTTCACCTTCTGTTATCGATTTTCAATCTCATCATTCTATATTGGTAGTTCAAGAAAATAGAAAGCGATGGAAAGTTTCTTATATTCAATTCAGGTAACTAACCACAAGCATTCTTAGATGCATGAAAGTCATGAAACAAAGTAACTATGTTTGCAAATATAGAAGATTTGCAAATCAAGCATATCCTATAAATTTTGCTTTTTATTATTCATAGAAATGTGTTTAGAGGATATAAATCCTCTGTCAATCTACAAACGGAGTTCATGAATACACAACTCAGTGCTTATAAATCAATGAACGAAAGAATGCTTAATCTAATTTTATAGTGGAGCTACCTCAATAATCTTTTCTTTATCCATGGACTTGCTATCATATTATTGTATAAGAAATGCCTACATTTCCAACCATATCCACTTTATAGGAAATTTTACACTGTTTTAATTGTCCCTTCTCTTCCAACTGAACCTCTCATGTTAGCTTGCACATAATGCATTGAGCAGAACATGAGCTAACATGAGATCCACAAAATACTGATGACCAATTTTGCCATCACGCCACTTCATCTTTGCAGGAGCTCTTCCATAGTGAACACCATCGTTACACCGGTTATCAAAATGCCATGGAAATGTCATATCAAAGTCATCAATCACTCCATTGATGATGCCAGCTTTCTTCAATTTCTCTATTAGCACTCCATTGAACACCTCCATTCTATAAGGATTACATGCTAGTGATCTTGCATATCCACCTGTTGCGACTGTGGAACGATAAAAGACTCTAGGCCAAGCTAACCCCCTTTGCTTCACTGACAACATAACACCTCTCCAGAATGATGCTGCATAGTCTGCTCCAACAGAAAATGCTCTTATATTACGCCAGTGAACACCGTCATGCAATCCTGAGTTCATGATCACAGTGTCTGGGATTGTGCCTTCTGAGAAGTACTTCTTCAACAGATTTTGAAACCCTTCATCCCTCAGAGAATCCAATCCTAAATAGTTTTGTGTTTCATTCCAATGCCCATTGAAAATGCTTGTGATTCTAACTGTTTGAGAAGGGTCTTTCGGGTTTGAAAAGTTCATGTCAAATCTCCTTGGGACAGAATGTATTTCGGGCAAATCTAGAACAAAATTGAGCATATTACGTATTGTGTCAACGTGATTTGAATCACCCCAGAAGAAAATCCATCTATTCTTCAAGCACTTCCAAGCAGACTCAGCTGAATACATCTTGAACGAGCAGTGAGTTGAGTACACCCAACCGTTACTCTCTAGAACTCCCAAGGAACCATCACACCATGGTTCTTTACAGGGAAAATCTGGGGCCAAGCATCTATACCTACCATCATTACCTATATTGCAGTCATCATTCTTGCCATGCCTGGTCCACCTTCCACACCACACATCCTTACCAAAATCAGAAGCTTTACAAGTCTCAAGTTTTGTTAACTGAGCAATGCTACTGTAGAACCTGATTGCAACACTCCAAACCACTCGGTCGTGTACAAATCTCCATGGAGTGAACTTCAGACCTTCAAAGTGTCTATAAAGTAGAATTACGGTGAGATTGTAAACCCCAACAAAATCAGGATGAACTTGAAGAGAAATTGAGTAAGAACCATTACTGAAATCTTTCACCGGAGGCCTAGATTTCCATGAGTCACCCGAAAGATCAGTCTCAAAGTAATCCCCACCTAAACAGCGAGGCTTTCCTGATTCATCCAACGCCTGAAAAAAAAACTCATGCACTTCCCCAGCTGATAGCTCTATCAGCTTCCCATCATCCAACCCAGGCATTGATATTCTATCTGTCTTAGAATCTTTACAAGGTTCTCCTCCTGGAGCTAACCATCTTGCTAGAAGACTTGAAGTCAAGTTTGGCTCCAATTCACTCGAAATCCAAGTTGAAAGCCCCTTAAGTTCGGGCTTCACTGGGGTTTTCTTGTCAAGCTCATCAGACACCCCACTGCTACTACTACTACTACTAGAATTCTTAGCAGAAACTGTTTCACTAAACTCAGAAAATGTGATGTTCACATGATTGTGGGAATCAAAGAGGGTAGTAACATTGGTTTGATTTTGATCCAAACTAAGTGGACTACATGGGGAGCTACAATCACTAAAAGTGAGATTTGGATGAAGGGAAAGAGTGGAATTAGGAAAATGGGAGCTCAGAGAAAAAGAATCTTGACCATACCTCCAGCTCCAAGCTTCAACAACGCTCCTAACAGTGAATCCATCAACGGTCCAAACCACAACCATGCCACCCAAAACAAGAGCAGTGAGCAACCCAAAACGCCAATTAATAGAAGACCAAGGAGCCACCTTTTCTGGCATCACAAACTTCCTAGATCAGCACCACAGAACAGCAACAAACCAAACCAAGCCACGCTATCAAAAAATGCCAAAACGATATTCAAGTTACCCAACACTCAACACAACAACAAAGACCAAAGCTGTTTTCCTTGATGACAAACACTCCAAAGGGTGTCCTAAGCAGAAGGATGTGAATTTTCTCCAGAAAGAAACAAAAAATTTGTGGAGTTACTCACGAGGAAGGTTTTAATGTCGTGTGAGCAGTTCTCAGACCTATCTGCGGTGCCTTTAATTCTTCATCTACTTTTGTTCATAACGCGTTTTATTTTTTAGTTTTTCTTTTTTCTTCTTCTATGGAGCTTGCTGAATATGGACCAACCACTGTTCTTACGGTCTCTGTTCAAGTTGGATTCTTCACAAATCCAACATCAAGATACTAATTATTGAATGAGTTATAGTTACCTCTTTTTTAGGTTAAGGATATTTATTACATTATTAGATTCCACATCTAAAATTACAGTAAAATTAATAAATAAATATTTTTTAAATGTGGAATTACTGTACCAAATTTTTATAATAGAAAATGAATTTTTATAAAAAGTAATATATGTGATGAAGAGTAAAGAATCATGGTAAGGCTACATGGTGCATTTAAACAATCTTAATATAATTATAATAAAAATTAATTTTCACATAACAGGTTTTCTTTGAAATTTATTTCAAAATACAGAAATTGATTCGGTTGATAATGATAGGATCTGTTTCATATAAAAATGTGAATTCGGACATCAAAAGGTATAAGAAGATCATATAATTGAGTCTTTTTAAATACCTTCAGTTTTTTGTTTCGAAATAGTTGAGAGGATAATTTTTTGATTAATTGTGGTGATGCGAAATGTATTCGAAAGGAGAAAATGAAATATCTGATCTAAAATGTTTCAATTATATTTGAATTTAGTATAATGATAAACTACTTTTTATCTTTATATAATTGGATAAGAAAGGTGAGAGAATAGAAAACAAAGATAAGATGGACGAAGAAATAAGGACAAAAGTAACCATGGTGTAATTTTTTTTAAATTATCAAGGATAAGTTTTTAAGAATTTTTGAAAAAGTAAGTGTATAGTATGGAGGCCGAAGGATTAACATTCGGTACCGTTCGGTCAATTAACTCAGGACCGTTCAGTTCATCCACTACAATCATAGATTGGACCGTAATTAGGCCATCGTTTAAGTTATTAGACCAATCGTCCAATAGATGATAAAATAATCAAGAATATCTAATTAAAGATATTGATAAGCTGTTTATTAATAACCAACCGAATCTTCAGGTAAGTTTGTTTTTATTTGATCTATGAAACACTTATAAATACACTAACAGGGTCAAAAGTCATGTACGTTCCATTCACAATCTACTCACGTTCAACTCATACTCCCAAATACTCAATAGTGATAACCATTCACTAAATATTCAACCAAGAGTCGAGACTCTTCAAATTTGCGCCTAACTCGAGCGTCGGAGTATCTTTGACAGATACCTCTCCTTTGGAACACGAAGGCAACCGATCAACCAAAACTGACGTGACCAAACGGCCTAGACAGAAATCAACCAAGCTATCAGACTATAGAAACCAAGCAGTCTAAACAGAAAGAAGACAAACGATCCAGACATTCGAAGACAAGAAAGATACATCAAAAAGTTGATCTATCGATCCGATACCAAAACCGTAAGCATCGTGAAGAAATGATATAATTCTAATTAAAGAAACTTTAGCTTGCTATATTTTAAATTAAAATCCTGTTAAGTTAGCACAAATTGGAAACAACTTTTTTTTAAATCATGGCACCCTGACACTATTTATCCTTTTCTAATTTTTATAAAATTTATTTTTAAAATAACAATTACACCAAATTACGCTTTTGCCAAGAATATGATTGGAAGTTGGAGGAGACGGACGGATATTTGTCTAACACGTGTTCCTCGAAATCATCGCAATAAGAGGAGACATGTAAATCTGGGCACATGGGATTCTTCAAATATTTGTGTCGGCCACGCCACTGATTTTTTTTTAAATCCAAATACCATTTCAATACATTTTTAAAACGGAAATAATCGGTTGATTTTGGTTCAATTTGATTCGGTTAGGTTTTCTTCGGTTTGTTTTGGTTCAATTCATTTTAGTTTTGTCAATTTAACTTGATTTAGTTTGTTTTAATTAAACTATATTCAATTTGATTTGGTTCAATTCAGTTTAGTTCTGTTCAGTTTGGTTTAATTTGACTAGACTCGACTCGGTTCGGTTCTCTTTGGCTAGGTTCAGTTGGGTTCAGTTCAATTTTGTTTGGTTCGGATTGGCTCTCCGTTCAATTCGGTTTGAAGTAAGTTTGGTTTGTTTTTGTTTGGTTCGATTTGGTTTGACTCGACGTAGCTCGATTCAATTCGGCTCAGCTCAAACCATAATGAACTAAACTGATCTAAGTTGAACTAAATCGAGTTGAACCAAGCCCAACTGAACCAAGCTGAGTCGAACCAAATCGAGTCGAACCAAACTAAATCGAGTCGACTAATTTTTTTAAAAAAGAAGGATCAATTGAGTTGTAAAAAAGTAATAATCTATTTGAGAAAAGTCACCAAAACTAAAAACTATTTATTTTTTATACATTTTAGATTGAATATTTGGAAAAGTGTTTCTAAATTAAAAAATATCTTTAAAAACATCCCTTCTAGAATGTTTTTTTATCTTTAAAAATAAATATTACATAAAATATTTTTGAATCTAAAAATATTTTTCTAAATATCTATTCTGAATTAGGTAAAAAATATATATCCAAATTGTATGTTTTGAAAGATATTTCTGGATCCAAAACTTCCATCTGAAAATAATAAAAAAAGTGCATGGATAAGTTTGACCTTTTTTATTATAATTTTAATGAAAGGTAATTAGGAGTTTATAAGTTTTGCAAAAACAATAAAGAGAGGTACAAAAAGGAGAGAAAGAGGTACGAAAAGAAACAATAGTAAATATTAAAGTTAGGCAGAAGATGGGTCTTTGTACAGAGAGTTGTTCCCTGTACCACCACCACCACAGATTTCTTCCTGTACTACCCATTCCACAATTGCTCTTCAATAAAAATGGAACTACTGTAGTTAAAAGATTTAAAAAAAAATAAATTCGTTGACGATTGAAGACTAAAGGGATATGGGATATCTGATAACATATATCCATATCCGTTGAAGGTCAAATCAATTTTCACATTCGTTTTGGTCTTAACGATTCTCACTGCTGTAGCTACTTCCATCTGCTAAGCTTGGAGCTCTTTAAAATACAATTTCTCTCTTAATAAGATCGTCAACAAACATTCTGCTTTAAGTTCAATTCTTAAAAGTATCCTATACAAGTATAAACATGATCGACATGAATTTTCAATGAACAAATTATGTAACACAGATTTAAAATAAATCAATACGCAGACAGTAGAATAGAGGTTTCACAATTTAATTCCATTAAAGTAAAACTTTCTGAAGAAATTTACCTAAGATAATTGATAATTTATTGTAGCTAGTTTACCAACAATAAAGAAGACATCGTTTGCAAACTCCTTACTAAACCCTCAGTGCCACTTTTGAGCCCCTGAATTTTAGAACAATAAATTGTCCATTCAAACCATTTCCAATCACTTCTTGATCCAACTAGACAATTTGGCGAAGATGGTTTCCTTTACCTTTAATGAATTCCAGTAAATTTGAACATAGGTATGTGCTTTCATTTAGCATTGTTAGGCCTTAATTCTGAAGGCAGTAGATACGGGAATGGAAAAGAGGAGGGAAGGGTGGTGGGTGTGAGGGTGGATGACGAAAATGGGAAAGAGAAGGAGAAGAGAGAGGGGGTGGGTGGGTGTGGTGTGCACTGAAGATATAAAAGTAGGGTTTTTAATTAAAAGTATAAAAAGTTAATGGTAAAAGTAAAAAAATTTAACCTAAAGATATTTTTGGAAAAAAAAATAAATTTGAGAGGTGTGGGAAGAAGGTTTTGGTGGTGGAGGGAGCAACTTTCCTGTGTATAATCTCTCTTTTTTTCTCGATAAAAATGTAAGGTTTACAATAAAAAAATGTGTTGCAAATATTGAGACATCTTTACAGAACTCAGTACCTTGAAGGATCCACTTAGATATTTCTAAAAATAATATTTTGATTATGTATATAATATTCATCATTTTTTAATATATATCTACTTGATGAAAGGGGTAAAAATATATGGAGAAGTTGTTTTATGCTATTTATTTTTATTTTTGGAAAGAACGAAAAACATGTTTTGAAAAGTACCTTTATATATTAACAAATAGATTTGATTAATAATTACAAAATGTTGAATTTTATGTTTTTCTAAAAAAAAGAGATGCAGAAGAAGTTTTTTTTTTCTTTTCTGTTTTAACATAAAAATTGAAGTTAAAAGAGCGCAAACAAAAGGGGTTACTATACGATCAATAAAATTGAAAAGGAAATTTTTTTTTTAACAACTTTATTACGATAAGTGATAACTCGTGATTTTATGTTTCAAATATACGAATTAATAAAATAATAACATATACTTTATTGTCAAAAAATATTAAAAAAAATTGTTAACATATAGCAATTTAAAAACATGGTGAAAGAAGCATGTTAAATATTGCTTATTCCCAGTTATACAGTTAAGAATTTGTCTTATTTATTTTCAAATTCACTTATAAATTTTTATGAAAATGAAATAAAAATCTATAAAAGCTATTTGTTTTTATTTCATTCTTTCATGGTTTTCTTTTTTTTTTTTTCACTTTTTGTTTTTCGAAAATAATAAATGTCAACACAACATTTTGACAAAAAATGGTAAGTAAAATATCTTGCCTTAAAACAAAGACTCTGAAACTAAGGTTTCTATTTTTAGGATTCAACTTACCATTGTGAGCTCCCTCTCGCCCCAAGAGTAAAAAATTGAAACAGATTCTGAAACTAAGGCAGAAGAAGATAAAAAATTTGGGTATAGTTTTATTAACCTTTGGTGCTTATTTTAATTCAACTTTTGTTTTTTAATTTTGATTTTAAGTTTTTTAATTAAACGTAGATCTATTTAGTTCTAGCATGCTATTATGCTATGCTAAGCTTGCCCACCATATCCTCACACATGCTCAGTAAAAAGCTTATGCCGTGTTCTGCATAAGCACTTTTAATCTTTTAACCTACCCTTTTCCCCAACAAACATCTTTTAACCTAACAGTTTCACCCTTCATTTTCACCACCTTTATACCTACCT